AGCGTTTTACTTTCTATGAAGAGCTGTTCGCTGGAAAATCTGCGCCTTTTCCTCAGTATTACTTTCAAAATCCATTTCTGTGTGACTTTCAAACAATTTATCTGATTAGTGTACGCAGCTCCCCATACTATTATTCCATAGGACATCACAGATTCTACTAAAGATTTATAGGCTACTTTCAAAATTTTTTTTGAAAGAATATCCCTGATTATATAATGCAAATACCAGTTTTTTTAATTTGTTATTCAAATATACTGATTAATTATCCCATCTGAGCATTTCACCGATGATAACTCCCATATATCCCAGAATAAGATGAGTTACTTCTCCACAAAAATTAACAATGCCAATAATAGAACTAAATTTGGGAACGAGTTGGGAAAAAACAGATCTAGTGCTGAAAATATTACACTCAATCATAAATCAATTATTGTTGATGAACCTCCTGTTATATCCAAAGTATTTGCTCATTTTTTTGCAAATTCTGCTGAGACTGCAATCTCGCGTTACTTGGTCAAAATCTAACATTACCTTGTACAGTCGGTACAAACATCATTTTAGTACACCCTTTTGAGAATGGACCAATTACTGCATTGAGGTTAATGAAAAATAAAAACTCAAGTGTTAGTAATTGTAATTCCTTTTACTTATTTAATGAATCAGTCATTCATACACGGTTACTTTCCAGAAGAGTTTAAGAAAGTCATAGTTATTCCTCTGTTTAAAAAAGGAGATAAAAATTAAATAGATAACTATCGACAAATTTCTTTACTTTGTTCACTCTCAAAACTGTATGAAAAAGTGGTGGCTACTAGAATAGATATGAAAACTATATGGAACTCAATAATATCAGCCCCACCTAATCAGAAAATAGAACAGATATTAATCAGGTAGAAAAAGAAGCAAAGTTACTACCAATTCTTATGTTTCCAGGTAATACTCTGATTGGTGAAAACGTAATTTAATCGACCGTCCGACCATAATGGATGTAATATAATATAAATTTGAGAAATTTAACTAGTACATTCAATTAGTGCTGTTAACCTGTGGTTAGTGATTGGTTTATTGTCAGATTCATTTACCAGTTGAAAAAGATGGATACCTGCAAATATTTGAATGAAAAACGAAATCTTCAGCCAAGTTTTGAAGACGAGATTTCAAAAATGGACCATGTCATAATGTCATCTATTAAGTCAGCGAAGGGAGGGAATATGAAAACTTTAAGTAAAAAGTTGAATAAAAAGTCTTCAGATCCAAAAGAAGAATTCCCCGACCGTGATGGTGTAATAGGAAATAAGTTGAATTCACTTTTCTCGTCCGGTTCTGAAGCAGAAAAACGAAAGAAGGAACTGAACAAAGGACATGGATGTCAGTCAAAATAGTGACTTCGTACGCCGGGAGGCGGAACATAGTCGAGTTTCAAAAGAAGATTTAAAAGAAGGCAAACCAAACTTTAGAAAACAGGATTCCAAGAATCAAAAGTCTTTAGAGCCTAAAGTATGCCTGGAAGGGAGGGGAGCTGTAGTGGAGTTGAAACGATCTGTTTCTCTAAGAGCAAGCAAAAATCGCGAGAAAGATATTGGGAGAATACTGGAATTGCAGCAGAGGACAGAAATCAAACACCTGCAGAAGGGGAGTGATCGACTTCAGGAAGTAAGAGTTGGATTATCACTTTCTTCTTCATCCGAAAGGTCCATGCACAAAGCCAAATCAACATCCGAGAAAGAAGCAGACCGTGGTGCTGAAATGAACAAAAATTTGAAGAGGCTTTTTTCTCCTGAACCAGAAGGAGGAAATGGGGCAGATGTAGTGAAAGCATATCAGTTACAGCGGACGGCAAAGAATAGACACCAGCATGAGAATAGTGGTCGGCTTGAATATACAAAGGCCCGACCATCAATTTCTTTCGCACCTAAGAAATCCATGCATGAGTCTTTATCTTGTAAGACGGGCAAAGAATCGTCTGAAACAAAAAAACGGGATCATGATGCTGGAAAAGAGCTTTTGGGTCCTGAGCCAGAGAAGGATAACGGACGTGAATTTCAGGAAGATACGGAAAGTAGTCGACTTCAGGATGTCACAGATGAATCATCAATTTCCACTGAACCGGAGAAGCCCATGCATGAAGCCAAATCAAATGTGTTTGGTGAAGAGTCTGAACCAAAAGGACGAGTCACAGATGATGGATTGACCGAAAGGTTGAGGAGGCTTTATGGTACTAAACCAGGGGAGAAAGGAGGTGAATTTCAGCGAGTCACAGATGATGGATTGATGGAAAAGGCTTTATGGTACGGAGGAGGAAGCCACATATGCCGGATTGACCGAAAGGTTGAAAAAGCTATATGGTACTCACCCCAAGAAGACTTATAAGAAGGAAAGACGTGCATTTACGGATACTGGGATTCACAAAATGGATGACAGTTTGATGTGTGGCTCAGTGCGACGGAAGATATATTCGATCAAAGAAGGATTAGATGATGAACCTCCTAGTAAAGTGCCGCGCGTTGCCTACCAGTGAAAGCAGATACACATCCACTATTTTATGATCGACGAAAAAGGAGGTAGTAGTCTTTTAGTTAATTTGTTCGTTGTCAATTAATTGTTTCGTGTATAAATACATTTTTTGTGTTCATAAACGTATTTGAATGTCTTCACGTATTTTCATCGAGGTATGTAGTAAATCTTGTGAAGTGAAAGTGATAAAAGTGGTG